AGAGAATAATTGGGCGCTCAACTGAGAAAAATATTATAGAAAAATTAAGACGGGCATGGTGGGCTATGCCTGTAGTCCCAGCTACTCGGGAGGCTGAAGGCAGCGAAGGATGCTTGAGCCCAGGAGTTTGAGGTTGCTGTGAGCTAGGCTGACGCCAGGCACTCTAACCTTGGCAAAGAGTGAGACTCTGTCTCAAAAAAAAAAGAAAAAAAAATACCTCTTTCTCGGAGAATGTTAAGTTGTAAGTAGATAATATCACACTAAATATTAACGCTAAAATCATTTTCGTATATATATTTAATAGAAGCGAATGCCGTATTGCTAGAAAAGTTTTATGCCAAGGAATATAATCACAGATTATGCATAAAAAATAAAATAATAACATAGGAAGTTTGATGATATACAGCGAGTGAGTCTATAATAAAAATGAAAACAAAAAACCAAAAATGACTAGTATTATGGAATATTTTTTGGGTTCATTTTAAAAGTCAATATGAAAGTCCATATCTCATAAAAAGCATTAGCAATGCAAATGTCACTCACAAATCAATTAAGAAAAGCAAGACACAAGATAATTAAGAAATGAGTGTGGAACGAAAGTCATAGTATACAAAATGTTAATTAGGATGAGAGTGTTGTGTGGTGTGCGTGTGGTTGGCGGTTTCTTATTGTTGTACATCTAGATGATATCTGATGTCAGATAAAACTCAAAATGTAACGCTTTAAAATCATTGCTGAGTAGTCATACATGTAGTACGTGGAAGAACTCACTGGATGAATGTACCATGGCTTCATATTAATATCTCATAAAACACATAACCAAGCAACAACGAATGAAGAGCTGCTCATTAATGCTGTCGGGAGTGGTGCAGTTACTCATCCTTCTTCTCCCTCTATCTAATTTTAGTAGAGATGGGGGGGCGTCTCGCTCTTGGTCATGCTGGTTTCGAACTCCTGACCTTGAGCTATCCTCCTGCCTTGGCCTCCCAGAGAGCTAGCTAGGATTATAGGCATGAGCCACTGCGCCCAGGCCAGAAAATATTTTTACATTCTTACCAGGCATTTAAATTATTTTCCCAAACACTTGCTGATACTGACTTGTGTGGATTTTTAATTTTTAGAATTCCTGAATTATCAATGCCATCTTTATCTTCTTACCAGTCAGGAACATTAGAAGTTGCTTCTTTAGGGAAGCCTTTCCCAATTCCCTAGATAGATTTAGTTCCCCCAATTCTTTTTGTTTTATAACATTCATTATAATAACTCTAATTTAATGTCTGTCTTCACAAATACCTTTAAGCCCCATGAAGACAAGGATTATGTCTATATATCTTCTTCACCACTATATTCCCAGTGCCTGTCACATGGTAGGCTCTCAGTAAGTTTGTTGAATATTAGAAATGAAAGGTGAACTCTCAGATCTAGTAGAGGAGAAAGACCCATAAATAAATACTTATAAGATACTATGGAAGAAGAATGATAGATGTCCATCTAGTGTTCCTCCAGTATGTCCTGTGAGTAAACAAAAATGATAAAAGAACCTAAAATTTGTATTATAATTTCATGTTATGTGTTAATATATTATATATATAAATGACTTAAACATTTAACCAGTTCATTTAGCAGAGACCCAATAAATATGCATATTGTTTTTTTTTTTTTTTTTTTTTAGACAGAGTCTCACTCTGTTGCCTGGGCTAAAGTGCAGTGGCATCAGCCTAGCTCACAGCAATCTCAAACTCCTGGACTCAAGCGATCCTCCTGCTCACTTCTCCGACGGTAGCTGGACCTAAACAGGCATGCTGCCGACCTGCCTGGCTAATTTTTTCTACGTATTTTAGGTTGCGGGAATTATTTCTTTCTATTTTGTATAGAGATGAAATCTGCTCTTGCTCAGGCTGGTTTCGAACTCCTGACCTTGAGTTCCTCCGCCCTGGCTTCAGGCAAGTGCGTCTAGGGGTCTACAGACGTGAGGCCACCACGCCGTGCTGAAGGAGTGTGTTTCTTAAGTGCTGTCTAACAATGACCTTAAGTAATCATGTAAGTTTAATAGAGTAACCTGATCAAGAGAAACTCATACTGGCTCTAACATTATTTATAATTTGTTATACTTAAGTCTTTTATATGAAGATGTTGATAGAGGAAGGCCTTCTACTAAACTTTGCATAAGAGAATGTGACCCGCTCAAGACATCTGATTTTCGTACGCAGAAAGTTAAGAAGGGTAATGAAGGAAAATAATTAAATTTGTTTTTTGGATTTGAATAATGATTATCCTTTGTTTAGTTAAAGATCGAGTATGAGTATTAAGACTGCGGTTAGAGAGTAGTGATAGCAATGCAGACTTCTTTTGCCTGAACATTGGTAGTTGGTTTACTGAGGGAAATTAATGACCCCAGCATGTGCACATTCAAGTGAGTTCTTACGTACCTATGTAGACCTACTAGCATAGATTTTAAAAGGTTACATTTTGGTGCTTTATCTGACATAGAGGTATATCAGATGTAGAAAATACCAGAAGAAGAGACCAAAGAAGAAAAGATAGCAAATTACAATTCTATGTAGTATATACTTGGGTTCACACTATTTTTAATTATTTGGTCGTGCTTTTGTTTAAGATTATTGTGAAGTACATTTGCATTGCTATCTTATTATGATATGACTTTAATTGACTTTAAAATGACAAAGGTAATATCCATAATAAGTCTTTTGGTGTTTTTTGTTTTATCTTTTATAATTATAGATACATGCTGTATAAAATTCTTATGTAAGTTTTGCCTATCTGTTGATTTTTCCTTTGGTAATAAATTTCCTAGAAATGAAATGCTTATTAGAATTAATAAACTGTTCTGTAGAGCGCTTGTTGACTGTGTATCTTATTTACTTAAAACTTAATCATCTCCAGAAGTATTTTTTTTTCTTTTTTTTTGAGACAGAGTCTCACTGTGCCTAGTTATAAGTCGTCGTGGCGTCAGCCTAGCTCACAGCAACCTCAAACTCCTGGCTCAAGCAATCCTTCTGCCTCAGCCTCCGAGTAGCTGGACTACAGGCATGCACCACCGCCAGTGCCCTGGCTAATGTTTCTATAGTATTGTTAGCTTGCCAAAGTTAATTCTATGAAAAAAAAAAGAAGAATTTATTACTTAGTAGTTGTGGGTAAGTAGGATTCCTGGGCTTGAGTCTGCAGAGCACTTTGCTGATCAATATGGTGACTATATAATTTGTCATCCAGTTAGAGAGAAACAGACTGTCATAAAAATTACCCCAGGACAAATGATATAAATTGACATTGTTTATTCCAGACAAGTCCAGATATGTGAGTACCTGCAAGGAAGTAGGCAAAGAAACTAGGCTTGCAATCTCAAAGGATTTTCTAGTCAGGCAGAGAGTAGAAAGAAGTTTGAGAGTTTGAAATCCAGCACACTTTTCTCACTAGAATTTTGCAGTAACATTGGGTTCTGGTGTAAGGTCTTAAAGGTGTTGACTACTGAGGATTCTGGCTGATATAGCTCCTGGTCCTGGAATCCCAAAGCATATTGCTAGTCAAATACTGTAGAAAGAGGGAAATCAGGCTTAGATTTCAAAGGACTTTGATTAAAAAAAAAAGTGCCTCTGTTTAGCATTTTGTGCTTTTATTTAATAGTACTTACATAGACTGATTTGTGCCAGTTTGCCATGTATACTTTATTGATCTGTGTTTCCCAATAAATAGTGAGGTCCATACAGACAGGTGTCATGTCTTACCCATCTTTGTTTTCCTCCAGAATTTTGTATAGTCGCTTCTATATGTTGCTCAATATTTGGATTGAATCACAACAATTAGTTGTATCCTTTTATTATTTATCCATGTATTTTGTTGTTTTGGCTGGACATGGCAGTCATGGAAAATAAAATCAATATTGATATCTTAAGACAATATTAGGCCGGGCACGGTGGCTTACACCTATAATCCTAGCACTCCAGGAGGCCGAAGTGGGAGGGTAGCTTGAGCTCAGGAGTTCCAGACCAGCCTGAGCCCTGAGCAAGAGTGAGACCTCATCTCTAACAAAAATAGAAAACAATTAGCCAGGCATGGTGGTATGTGCCTGTAGTCCCAGCTGCTTGAGAGGCTGAGGCAGAAGGATTGCTTGAGCCTAGGTGTTTGAGGTTGCTGTGAACTAGGTTGACATCATGGTACTCTAGCTCAGGGGACAGAGCAAAACTGTCTCAAAAAAAAAAAAAGTGAAATATTTTTTCCTCCCTACCCTACTCCGTCAATAAGTTTGATAAAAACTAATTTATCTGGAGGAAGTTTTTTTTTTTACTAAATATGCTCATCTAATTAAAGAATTAATGGCAATGAAGACATATTTGTTCTTGAAGCCTATCTGAGGTGTGTGTGTGTGTATATATATATATATGTGTATATATATATATAAAATGACTTATACATTTAACCAGTCATTTAGCAGAGACCCAATAAATATGCATATTGTTTTGTTTTTTTTTTTTTTTTTTTAGACAGAGTCTCACTCTGTTGCCTGGGCTAAAGTGCAGTGGCATCAGCCTAGCTCACAGCAATCTCAAACTCCTGGACTCAAGCGATCCTCCTGCCTCAGCCTCCCGAGTAGCTGGGACTACAGGCATGCGCCACCATGCCTGGCTAATTTTTTCTACGTATTTTTAGTTGGCCAATTAATTTCTTTCTATTTTTAGTAGAGATGAAGTCTTGCTCTTGCTCAGGCTGGTTTCGAACTCCTGACCTTGAGTGATCCTCCAGCCCTGGCCTCCCAGAGTGCTAGGATTACAGGAGTGAGCCACCACGCCCGGCTAAGGATGTGTTCTTAATGCTGTTCTAACAATGACTTAAGTAATCATGTAAGTTAATAGATAACCTGATCAAGAAAACCCTACTGGCTCTAGACATTAGTTTATAATTTGTTAACTTAATTCTTTTAGTATGAAGAGTTGATGGAGGCCTTCAAAACTTTGCATAAAGAATGTGAACAGCTCAAGACATCTGGATTTTCTACAGCAGAAATAAGAAGGGTAATGAAAGAAAATAATTTTTTTTTGGATTTGAATAATAATGTATCTTTGTTTTTAGTTAATTCAGTATGAGTATTAAGACTGCGTAGAGAGTAGTGATAGCAAATGGCAGACTTTCTTTTGTTGAACATTTGGTAGTTGTTTACTGAGGAAATTAATGAAGCCATGGTACATTCATAGTGAGTTCTTACGTACTATGTAGACTACTAGCATAGATTTTAAAAGGTTACATTTTGAGTCTTTATCTGACATAGATAATATCAGATGTAGAAAACAGAAAAGAAACAAAGAAGAAAAAATTATCTAATTAACATTTTGTATATTACTTGGGTTCACACTATTCTTAATTATTTGTGTCTTGCTTTTTAATTATTGTGAGTACATTTGCATTGCTATCTTTTATGATATGACTTTAATTGACTTTAAATGACCAATATATTCCATAATATAGTCATTTTTGGTTTTTGTTTTTCATTTTTTATTATAGATAATGCTGTATATAAATTCTATGTAATTTTTTGCCTATCTGTGATTATTTCCTTGGAATAAATTTCTAGAAATGGAATTGCTTATTAAATTATATGAAAATGTTTAGGACTTGTGATGTGTATTATTACTTAAACTTAACATTCTCCAGAAAGTATTTTTTTTTCTTTTTTTTTTGAGACAGAGTCTCACTCTGTTGCCCAGGTTATAGTGCCGTGGCGTCAGCCTAGCTCACAGCAACCTCAAACTCCTGGGCTCAAGCAATCCTTCTGCCTCAGCCTCCCGAGTAGCTGGGACTACAGGCATGCACCACCATGCCTGGCTAATTTTTCTATATATTTTTAGTTGGCCAATTAATTTCTATCTAATTTTAGTAGAGATGGGGGGGCGTCTCGCTCTTGGTCATGCTGGTTTCGAACTCCTGACCTTGAGCTATCCTCCTGCCTTGGCCTCCCAGAGAGCTAGCTAGGATTATAGGCATGAGCCACTGCGCCCAGGCCAGAAAATATTTTTACATTCTTACCAGGCATTTAAATTATTTTCCCAAACACTTGCTGATACTGACTTGTGTGGATTTTTAATTTTTAGAATTCCTGAATTATCAATGCCATCTTTATCTTCTTACCAGTCAGGAACATTAGAAGTTGCTTCTTTAGGGAAGCCTTTCCCAATTCCCTAGATAGATTTAGTTCCCCCAATTCTTTTTGTTTTATAACATTCATTATAATAACTCTAATTTAATGTCTGTCTTCACAAATACCTTTAAGCCCATGAAGACAAGGATTATGTCTATATATCTCTTTCACCACTATATTCCCAGTGCCTGTCACATGGTAGGCTCTCAGTAAGTTGTTTGAATATTAGAATGAAAGGTGAACTCTCAGATCTAGTAGAGGAGAAAGACCCATAAATAAATACTTATAAGATACTATGGAAGAAGAATGATAGATGTCCATCTAGTGTTCCTCCAGTATGTCCTGTGAGTAAACAAAAATGATAAAAGAACCTAAAATTTGTATTATAATTTCATTCATTATTACCAGAGTTTTCTTTTTTTTTTTTTTTGAGACAGAGTCTCACTTTGTTGTCCAGGCTAGAGTGAGTGGCGTCAGCCTAGCTCACAGCAACCTCAAACTCCTGGGCTCAAGCGATCCTCCTGCCTCAGCCTCCCGAGTAGCTGAGACTACAGGCATGCGCCACCATGCCCGGCTAATTTTTTATATATATATCAGTTGGCCAATTAATTTCTTTCTATTTATAGTAGAGACGGGGTCTCGCTCTTGCTCAGGCTGGTTTCGAACTCCTGACCTTGAGCAATCCGCCCGCCTCAGCCTCCCAAGAGCTAGGATTACAGGCGTGAGCCACAGCGCCCGGCCCAGAGTTTTCTTAAACATATCTTTGCAGAAAATTTAGGAAACATGATTAAACAAGAAATAGAAAAGAATTCATTCATAATCTCATGCTCTAGAGATAACTACTATTGACATTTGGTAAACATATTTAAATATTTTTCTTTGTATTATAATCTGCTTCTTTCAAGTAATGTCATATCATGACTTTTTCTCATGTCATTAAACATTCTTCTGCATAATTTTTAATGACTCTCATTGTATTATGTATTGTAGTTTTTTAAATTCTCAGACATTTAGGTCGTTTCCAGATTTTAGATATAATTAGCATCAAATAAGAATCCTTATGGAGAAGTCTGTGACTTTTCATGAATATTTTATTAGGACACATTCCCAAGTGTGGAATTACTGGGCTAGAAGGGATGAACATTTATTTTAAGACTTTTGATATTGTTCTTTTTTTTTTTGAGACAGAGTCTCACTCTGTTGCCCAGGCTGGAGTAAATGCCGTGGCATCAGCCTAGCTCATAGCAACCTCAAACTCCTGAGCTCAAGCTATCCTCCTTGCCTCAGCCTCCCAAATAGATGGGACTACAGGCTTGTGCCATCATGCCCAGCTAATTTTTTCTATATATTTTTAGTTGGCCAATTTCTTTCTATTTTTAGTAGAGACGGAGTCACGCTCTTGCTCAGGATGGTTTCAAACTCCTGACCTTGAGCAATTCTCCCATCTCGGCCTCCCAGAGTGCTAAGATTACAGGCTTGAGCCACTGCGCCCGACCAATATTGTTCTTAAATACATTGCTACCAGTAGTGAGTGAGAGTGCCCATTGTCCAAAATTCTATCAATACTGACTACCATGTATATTTTACCTTTAATATCACTTTTGGTAGTTAGGCTATTAGTTTTTTCGGTTTAGGAAGGATTTTTAAAGTTTGTCTGTTTTCATTACAAAATATTATGGAGCTGGTTAAAAGGAAGGTAATTTATTTTTGAAGTCTTTATTTTCAGAGAGGAATTGGTTAATTGTGGCAAAACCAGACACAAATTTCTGTCTTGAAAACACCATAGTCTTAAAAATAATTTTGATGGAAAATTGGCAGAATATGTGGTTTGGTATTTAACAGAGCAGATGGGATGTCAGCAGCTGTTGTTCATGTATTTAAACCTGCACTCTTTCCATTATAGAAGATTTTGAAAAATCATGTGCCCATATTTGGAATCAAAACGCAAATGTGCTGGCTGGCAGCTTTACCTTGCTGCGTTATAACCTGTTTTAGTTGCTTTTCTAGATGAACTTTAAGCTGCAAAAAAATTACCCAGCATAAAGAGCCCTGGGAGAAAAATAGAAATGACCTTCATCCAAAAGAGGATCTTTGTTCCTTAATGTTCTGGTTATATTCTCTGGTAGATTCATAATCAAAATAAGAATCCTACAGACTAAGAATACTTTTTCTTATAATGTCCTCTTTACTACTTTTTAGGATATCAGTGCAATGGAAGAAGAAAAGGATCAGCTCATTAAGAGAGTTGAACGTTTGAAGAAAAGGGTAAGGCAAGAATTAACACTGTAAGACTTTGGCCTCGTGTCCCAAGGATTTGCAGAGATTTAGGAATGCAAATAAAGATTAAGCTAGGCATGAGTGTACATCCGAGAATGGACTCAAATAACACTGACAGAAAGGGAATCTCCCTAGCAAGTAGCCCAAAACTTTTAAGGACCTGGAGTCTAGAGCTTTACTGTCATTTCTAGGAAGTACTGTTTACCAAAAGGAAATGATAAGTGGATGTCTGAGTCATGTGACATACTAATTTTTTTCTCAAACCTGACAGTAACATGTACTACTTATACGCTTACCGTAGGTGGAGACAGTTCAGAATCATCAACGGATGCTTAAAATAGCAAGGCAACTTCGAGTTGAGAAAGAGAGAGAAGAATTTCTTGTACAACAGAAACAGGAACAAAAGAATCAGGTATCCACATAAAAGTTTATATTCTTAGAATGAAAGAAATAATTCCTTCTGATAATTCAGATGTAAAGAAAGAAGAGTTTTAGAATTGTAGAAATGTTTCCCTTTGTTGACATGATGGAATATTCTTTTAATTAAGAGAAGTATTTTGTGGCACCAATGCAACAATACCGTAACCTTTTGGGTTTATACTCTATATGTATCTACACACTGTCTTTTGGCCTATCTTAGCTCATGTTCCAACATTACAGAAGATTCATTATAGTGTTAAGCAGTAAGATTATTAACTGCTAATAAAATTTCTAGAATCTCTAAAAGATGTCCGTAGATTTGGGGGCTATAAGAACATCCTTTTTATTTTACTAATTGTAGTGCTCTTTATTCCAGTGGCAAATAAAAATTCATGAAAAAGCTTAAAATCACCCATATTCCATGTTTTTTTGTTTGTTTGTTTTTTATTTCTTTTTTTTTTATTTTTTGAGCGAGGGTCTTGCTCAGTTGCCAGGGCTAGAGTACAGTGGTGTTATTATAGCTCACTGCAACTTCAAACTCCTGGGCTCAAGAGATCCTCCTGCTGCAGCCTCCTGAGTAGCTGGGACTACAGGCACATGCTGCCACATCTGGCTGATTTTTCTATTTTTTGTAGAGGCAGAATCTTGCTTGCTCAGGCTGGTCTCGAACTCCTGGCCTCAAGCAAATCCTCACACCTTGGCCTCCCAAAGTGCTAGGATTACAGGCATGAACCACTGTGCTTGGCCCACACTTCACATTTTAAAACTTTGCCTTAAAGAAACAAAATTTGGTCAGAAAGTATTACTTTTATTAAAAATCTAGGTAGACTTATACATTAAATATATATTTCAGACCAGATGCATTGGTTAATGCCTATAATCCCAGCACTTTGGGAGGCTAAGGCAGGAGGATCACTTGAGCCCAGGAGTTTGAAGTTGTGATGAGCTATGATGATGCCATTATACTATAGCCCAGGCAACAGACCAAGGCCCTATCTCCAATAATAATAATAATAATAATATATATATATAATATTTATTATTTATTTTTTTTTTTAGGCCAGGTGTGATGGCCAATGTCTGTAATCACAATGGTTTGGGAGGCCAAGGCGGGAGGATTGTTTGAGGCCAGGAGTTAGAGACCAGCCTGGGCAACATAGCAAGACCCCATCTCTACAAAAATAAAAAAATTAGCTGGGCATGCTAGCATGTGCCTTCAGTTCTAGCTACTCAGGAGGCTGAAGCAGGATGATCACTTGAGCCCAGGGGTTCAAGGTTTTAGTGAGCTGAGAGCATGCCACTGTACTCCAGCCTGGGTGACAGAGCCTGTCTCTATAAAAAAAAAAAATAATTATATATATATATATATATATATATATTTCAATAGCTTCATTTTCTTCTAAATTGGCAGTTTAGATGTTTGCCTCTATTGGAATTTGACTTGATATTTTAGTAGTTTCATTGTTAAAAGTAAGCTGCATTGCTTATGCCCTGAATGGTTACTTAGTATCAATTTCTGATTCTGAGACTTCACTGTGAGAATGTTAACATTCCTTAGCATTAAGAAAACTATGTTATAACAAGAAAAGCCTGGTTTGTATATTTCTTTAACAAGTACTTTTCTTAATCACCAAATTCAATAAATAACTAAAGAAAAAATATCTGAAAGCTTTTTAAAAACATTTACACGAAAAGATATACTGAGAGAACCAGTTACATTTTGGGTTTAATATAGTAATTTTCTTGGCTCTTATTATGTGTTCCTTTTATGTCATAAGAATTATATGGAACTTATATTTTCTGTTGCTTGCCTACGTGAGAGGTAAGCTTTAATAGACTAAACAAGTGATGGATCTATTTGTATCTTAAAGCTATTTCATGCAGTGCAGAGATTGCAGAGGGTACAAAACCAGCTGAAAAGTATGCGCCATGCTGCAGCAGATGCAAAGCCTGAAAGTAAGTGGAAATTATTATAAGATTTGATGATTAGAAAATATTAATTTAAATCAGAATCTTCCTAAAAGCAATCATTTAATGGGAATAAATTATCATCAAGTGATATCTCACCATTTTGGCACATCATTTCCTAACTGGAGGAGAGCCCTGATGAAGATGTCTTTGGGTTTTCACTTGGAGTTTTTTTTTTTTTGAGTCAGAGTCTCACTCTGTTGCCCAGACTAGAGTGCCGTGGTGTCAGCCTAGCTCACGGCAACCTGAAATTCCTGGGCTCAAGCGATCCTTCTGCCTCAGCCTCCTGAGTAGCTGGGACTACAGGCATGCACCGCCATGCCTGGCTAATTTTTTCTACATATTTTTGGTTGGCCAATTTATTTTTAGTGGAGACGGGGTCTCGCTCTTGCTCAGGCTGGTCTTGAACTCCTGAGCTCAAACGATCCTCCTGCCTCGGCTTCCCAGAGTGCTCACAGGCATCAGCCACCACATCCAGCCTTTACTTGCGGTTTTAAAAAATTCCTGTCCAGTTATTCAGTTAGAATTTGAAGGTAGTGATAACAATTATGCAGGGAGGCTCTATGGTGTGTGTGTATAAAGTACTTCACATGGATGTAGTGAAGATGAATGAAGAAAAAGTGAATCATTGTTTTAAAGCCAGGGCTTTAAAGAAAAATAATAAAATGCTGAACCTTTAAAACTGAGTGTTTTTTATATTTTGGTTTGTAGAATAATAGTGCAAAGGACGTGCGTATCCCTGGCTCTGTTCTTACATTAGTTTTACGCAGAGGATAATCTGTTCTAGAAGCCCAGATTACACCACCAAACCCATCCTAGGCATTTAAAAAGTATTTTTGGTCATCAGAAGGGAGTCCATGCAAACTGAAGGAGAGTGCAAAACTCTCATTTGTACTGGAAAAATATTTCACTGTAAATATTCAGCTGATAGAGGGTTAATTCATCTTTATATAAGTAATCTGTGAAGTTCTATAAGATATAATACTTAGAATGACTATAACAAAAACGACAGACAATTATAAGTGTTGATGGAAATGGGTAGAAATTAGAACCCTCTTACCTTGTGGGAATGTGAAATGATGCAGCTGCTTTGGAAAACAGTTTGGTAAGTCCTCAACATGTTAAACATGGAATAACCATATGAACCAGCATTTCCATTCCTAGGTATATACCCAAGAGTATGGAAGACATATGTCCACATAAAAACTTGAGCACAAATGTTCATAGCAGCATTATTCATAACAGCCCCCAAATGGAAATAATCCAGATGTCCCTGAACTGATGAATGGATTAACAAAATGTGGTCTTTCCATACAATGAAATATTATTCTGCCACAACAAAGGAATGAAGTACTGATGCATGGTATGACATGAATGAACCTCAGAAACATGCTAAGTGAAAGAAACTACATAGTCGCAGAAGACCACATATTGTATAATACTATTTATATAAAATGTCCAGAATAAGTGAATCCATAGAGATAGAAATCAAATTAGTGGTTGCCTTGGGCTGGGATGTTGTGGGAAGGAAGAATGAGGGACAGGAAGTAACTGCTAATTAGCCTGAAGGTTTCTTTTGGGGCTGACAAAAATGTTCCCAAATTGAATGTGCTGATGGTGCACGACTCTGTGAATATACTAAAAAACATTGAATTATACACTTTAAATGGATAAGTTTTATGGCATGTAAATTGTATCTCAGTAAAGCTGTTAAAAGAGATAATGGGGTACAGTGTGGCATGAGCCCATAATCCTAGCTACTCAGGAGGCTAAGGTGGGAAGATTGCTTGAGTCTATGACTTTAAGGCCAGCCTGGGCAACATAGTGACACCCCATTTCAAAAACAAAAAAGACCGATAATACAGCATTTCCTTAATTCTAAACACTAATTTTTTCCCATTTTAATTGTTTTTGCTATTGGGCTGTATCTTTCATTTAATTAGGTATTTAATTAGGTCATTAAATATGAAATGTCCGATTTCTAATAAAAAATATAGTTTATTGTAGTAACTCAAACAAGAAACAGTACAATTAATCAAAGTCTTAATATGTGCCCAAGTTTTGCCGTCTTAACAGTAACTTGCTTATACCAGAAGCAAAGAAGCCTGGAGAGCCAGTGGGGATGAAATCACAAAAGGCGTTTTCCATGGCTTGTTGAGAATTAAGTATTTTTCCTTGCAAGAAGTGGTCCAAAGTCTGGAAAAAGTGGTAGTCAGTTGATGCAAGGTCTTGTGAATAGGGTAGATGACAACAAGAAATTCCAAGTCCAAACTCTGTAGTTTGAGCAACATTGTTTGTGCAACTTGTGGTCGAATCTTGCAAGAGGATTGGCCTGTCTCTATTGACCAATCTCAGCTGCTTAATCACAGATATCCTCATCATTTCATCCAGTTGGTTGCACTAGACATCCGATATAATTGAATGACAAGGTTTCATGAAGCTGTAGTGAATAATACCAGGCTGGACCACCAAACCGACACTATTAACTTTGTTTTAAATTTTTTTTTATTTTAGCATATTATGGGGGTACAAATGTTTAGGTTACATATATTTCTTTTGCCCCACACCATTAACTGTTTTGATGAATTTTTGGTTTGGGACTGTGATTTGGCACTTCATCTTTATCTAACCATCGTGCTGAATGCTGTGATTTGTCAAAAAGAATCCATCTTTCATCACATGTAACAATGTAGTGTAGAAATGATTCGCCTTTATGTCTTGACAGCAAAGAAAGGCAAGCTTTCAGATGATTTTTCTCCTGATGCTCATTTAATTCATGTGGAACCCATCTATCCAGCTTCTTTACCTTGCCGATTAGTTTCAAATGGTCCAATGTTGTTGGAATAATAACGTCAAATCTTGCCAATTCACACCGTAGGTTGAGATGGATTTGCTTCCACTACAGCTTTCAGCTCATCATTATCTACCTTGACGTCAGGTTGCCCACGTGGCTCATTTTCAAGATAAAATCACCAGAACAGAACTTCTCAAACCATTGACATACTGTGCATTCATTAGCTACATCCTTCCCAGACACTTGGTTGGTATTTCAAGCTATCTGCGCAGCATCGGTTCCATGATGGAACGCATATACAAAAATAACATGAATTTATTACTTATCCATGGTTTTACAAAAGTTGCTCAAAAAAAAACTTTGAAAGATAATCACAAGCCAAACTCTGCGTTTGAAAGAACGAGGTTGTACCTTCACAATAAACATAAAACAAGAAGTGTCAAAGTGAAATGTCAGCGATATCAACTGTCTTAGTACTTAGGGAAATTGGACATTTCATACTTAATAACCTAATAATTTAAAGTATTCACAGTGTAATGGAACAATGACAAGCAGTGGACAGTTATAATACAGGGGGATGAATATGCTGATGGAGCCCAGCATAGGCTTCTATGAGAACAAAGAGGCAAAGCACAAAACTCTAACACAGAGCAGATGGCTTCCTGGACATAGTGGCAACTGAGTTGAGTTAAAGTTGGAAAGGTAAAGGAATGGCAGGCATTCCATGCCAAGGTACAGCGACCTGAAAGAATTTGATTGTAGTGGGCTGAGCAAATGATAGGTGAGAAGTTGAGTTAAAAGGATAGGCTTCTTTTGACCCCTTAGACCCCTTGTCTTTGAAAGGAAGACAAGAGAGGGAATGTGGGTATGAATGAGAAAGACATTACCATGTCTAGATTGAGGGAGGGTGGTGGTGCAGTGGTATTTATATGCTGGAGGAAAGAGTAAGACAAATGGAGATTGAAGATTCAGGAGGAGAAGATTTCTTTGTGCTTCCATTATTCTGCATACATTGCTGTGAATGTTCTGTGACAATTACCACAATATGTCAATTGTTGACATGTCTAACTCTACTCAACTAAACTCCAGGCTAGTCAGCAAGTCATCATTGGTCTTTGTATTTCCAGGCACTAAAAAACACTAAATTATACATAGCAGGCATTTAATAAATATTCAGTTAAGTAGTTGGAAGGGGGGAGTAGAGAGCTTAAGCCCTGATGGGAAGAAAATTATCTTTTTCTACAGGTAGAAGGGGAAAATAGAAAAAAATGGCTGAAAGTATAGACAAACATAAGATATTCTGTGATACGTGTATTTTGTGGGTGGACAGGAACAGGAGGTTAAAGTGTTCCTGCTTTGTTGACATCTTTCTGGGAAGTGGAAAAGTCATAAGGGTTGTATTCAGCATGCTATGAAAAGAGTAAATTAAACAGATGTTTAATTGATCTAGGTATTTAGTTTAATGGGGTCTAAGTTTTTTTATTAACAAAAAGGCTTATGAAAAAGCTTATTTACTTAAATAAAAAAGTTTTACAGTGTAATTTGTGTTTTTGCAGAGTAATAGCATTATAAAACATTCACTGGTTAATTTATTTTTGTATTATACACATTCATGAGATTTATTACATAAAAGAAGCCATTCATTTGATTAGGATCGGTGAAATGTTTTCAAAGCGTTTTTAGTAAAAAAGTTTTCATCTTAGTGACCTCATATTTAATTTCTCCAGGATTTTGAAAGATAAATGTTTTAAAAACTTTGCATAGAAACACATGACTAATTTTCAAAGTCTAAGTTAATATTTTAAGGGAATTTAAAATTTGATGGAAACTCTGTTTTTAACCACTTTATCAAGATAAAATTGACATGTAATAAACTGCACATATTTAAAGTATAGTCTTTTTTTTGAGACAGAGTCTCACTTTGTTGCCCAGGCTACAGTGAGTGCTATGGCATCAGCCTAGCTCACATCAACTTCAAACTCCTGGGCTCAAGCAATTCTACTGCCTCAGCCTCTTGAATAGCTGGGACTACAGGTATGCGCCACGATGCCCAGCTAATTTTTTGTATATATATTTTTAGTTGGTCAATTAATTTCTTTCTATTTTTAGTAGAGACAGGGTCTCACTCAGGCCAGTTTCGAACTCCTGACCTGAAGCAATCCGCCCGCCTCAGCCTCCCAGAGTGCTAGGATTACAGGCATGAGCCACCACGCTCGGCCTAAAGTATATTCTTGATTAGTTTTGACATACATATACAATGGCAAAACCAGTGATAATGAACATATCCATCAGCCCCAGACATTTCCATGTGCCTTTCTGTAACATCTCACTCCTGCCCTCTTTGCCCCTCTCTCCCTTCCCAGGCAACCATGGTCATGCTGTCACTGTGTATCAGTTTGTATTTTCTAGAGTTATAAACATTTTTTAAAATAGAGAAAATATTATTTAAGAACTTAAAATCTTTAAAAAACATTTTAATCTTTGATTCCATGTATCTCTAATTACATGAGGTATATTTGAGAACCCGAAGATGAAAAAGCTAGTTATCTAATAGCCAAAGAAGCCAAGATGTAGATTTAATCAGAAACCACATAGGAATGACTGTCTAATTATAGTGTGATTCATTCAACACTTTGCCTTCTCTTCCTTTCTCCAATCCTGAAAAAAGTAGAAATATTGAAGGAATGAACAAAAAACTTATGAATTTGTAATTGATAAAATTTTACATGTTAATATATGGTTAGCACAATGGAACTAAAAATAATTTTGAGGCTTTGGGCCAGATTTATTATGCAATCTATGTGCATAGATTACTTAAACCGGAAACCCAGAGTTTTAAAAAGTCATGCCAGAATTTGTAAGTGTGTAATGGAAAGATCTGAAATAAACTTTGTAAAGCTCTTGGAATTTATAACAAAACCATTATTCACTGAAAATCTGTGTGTGTATAATGCATCTGAAAAAATAAGAAAATAATAATTTAAAAAGTATAATTTAAGTTGCCCCTTAACTATAAATTAATACTTTACAAAATAAAAAATACAAAAACTTGGAGAACTTAAAACATTTATGAATATGGATACTTTGTCTTTTTTAAAATTTGATTGTACGTTTAGTGATGTCTTTGTTGGTTTGAAGTTGACAAATGATAATGAATTACCATTTGTGAAGTGTTAGAACAGATATATAAATTGCATCAAAGTATCACAAAAGAAAAAGAATAAGTGACCATTTGTATAAAAGTGCTTAGATTTTTAGATTTCATTTAAGTGTTGTTATTTGGTTCATGGATTTCTTTAAATACTTAGAAGGCAAAATATGACCCAACAATGTATCTGGCTCTACGAATGTTATTTTATTTTATTTTATTTTTGAGACAGAGTCTCACTCTGTTGCCTGGGCTAGAGTGCCATGGCGTCAGCCTAGCTCAGAGCCTAGCTCAAACTCCTGGGCTCAAGCAATCCTCCTGCCACAGCCTCCCAAGTAGTTAGGAGCTAATTTTTTGTTATTAGTTGGGCTAATATTTTCTATTTTTAGTTGTTTGGCTAATTTCTTTTGATTTATAATAGAGACGGGGTCTCGCTCTTGTTCAGGCTGGTCTCGAACTCCTGAGCTCAAGCAATCCTCCCGCCTCAGCTTCCCAAAGTGCTAGGATTACAAGTGTGAGCCACCACGCCTGGCCTACAAATGTTATTTTTGAATATTGTGGGATATAAAAGAATTAGGTTGTAATTTGGAAAGGTCATAATATCACTTTTTCTATAATTATTTAAATATTATTCCATGCAAATTGTGCTTCATTATCATCCTAACATCAAAAGATTTTAATGGCCAATCTTTTATTGTACTATGCTAGATACTATAAAGAATGTTTGGCAGATAGGCCCTACTACTATCCAGGTCTTATATTTAAAATAGCATATAGAATATAACTGTACATACTCTTTTGGGCTGAATATTTATTTTATTTTTAAAGGTCTAATGAAGAGGCTAGAGGAGGAGATAAAATTTAATTCATATATGGTAACTGAAAAATTTCCTAAAGAATTAGAGAACAAGAAAAAGGAATTGCATTTTTTACAAAAAGTGGTTTCAGAACCAGCTATGGGCCATTCTGATCTTCTTGAACTTGAATCTAAAGTAAGTGACAATCATCTTTTTATAGCTCCCAATTTTATCTCACCCCCAGTCCTGTAAAAATTATGTAAACTGCTTTCTATAGTGTCCCACTCTTGACTCTTAAGTTAACCTGTGCTAAGAATTGACAACTCTTATAAGGAGTTATCCTTTATGAGGAGTTACAGAATGTTATGTTATACCTAATCCACATGATGTTATGAAAGCCTAGTAACTTGAATATATAAATTAATGCATATAATTGACTCATAAGTTTATGTCTTCCTAATATAATCATTTAGATGGCAAATTTTAAAATATTTTTATGTTTTTAGAGGCCTGGTCTGATGAAGGAAAAAATTTTTAAATATTTTAAATGTCTTTAATTTTTATTTCTAAGTATAATATTATGACAATTATATATATATATATATATATATTTTTTTTTTTTTTTTTTTTTTTTTGAGACAGAGTCACTCTGTTGCCCTGGCTAGAGTGCCGTGGTGTCAGCCTAGCTCACAGCAACCTCAAACTCCTGGGCTCAAGCAATCCTCCTGCCTTAGCCTCCCGAGTACCTGGGACTACAGGCATGCGCCACCATGCCTGGCTAATTTTTTCTGTATATTTTTAGTTGTCCAGCTAATTTCTTTCTATTTTTTAGTAGAGACAGGGTTTTACTCTTGCTCAGGCTAGTCTCAAATTCCTGAGCTCAAACGATCCTCCCGCCTCAGCATCCCGGAATGCTAGGATTACAGGCGTGAGCCACTGTGCCTGGCCAACAATTTTATATTTAAAGCTAATATTTTTTATTAGTCTTTGGAATTACTAAACTTAATTGTAATGCTCACTAAAACCTGGTATCATATTATAATAATTTTTTCCCTAGAATTAAAATCCTAATCAGATATATATATATATATTTTTATTTTTTATTATTTTTTTGAGACAGTCTTGCTCTGTTGCCCAGGCTAGACTGCAGTGGCATCATCATTAGCTCACTACAGACTCAAACTCCCGGGCTCAAGCAATGTTCCTGCCTCAACCTCCTGAGTAGCTGGAACTATCGGCACAGGTCACCATACCTGGCTAATTTTTCTATTTTTAGTAGAGACAAAGTCTCAGTCTTACTCAGACTGGTCTCAAACTCCTGAGCTCAAGTGATCCTCTTGCGTGCACCTCCCAGAGTGCTAGGATTATAGGCAGGAGACATTGCGCTTGGCCCAGATGTATATATTTTTAAAAATAACAGCTATCACGAAAATTGAAAATTTTGACTTGCTAATTCTTTAATGTATTTAATATGTGCTTAATAGCCACTACATTTAATTATATAATTCTGACCATTTTAGTCTTTTAATTTACTTAGAAAAATTAGATATCCAAGTCATAATTGGCTCAAATTTAATGTCATAGAATTATTTGTTAAGGGACTGTATGTTTCTGTTGGATCTATTCAGTTTTATTACATTTTGGAGAAGTTTAGATTAATGATCAGGATAATTGATAGCTATCAAATAATCACAGATCATTAGCATAGGAAGGCTTTTTAGATGTCATCCATGTCTACTCTCAGCTGGGTTCATGAATACCTTGTACTAAATTCCTTGGAATGTTTGTGCAGATTCACTTTATCACTTGTGGTGACTTGAAAGTTATGACCTGGGTGAGGGGATAACTTCAGAATTTTGAAAAGCATCTTTGTGATAATGTATAAATATTTCATGTAAAATACTTGAGGATAATTTAGACATGGGTGGTAAAATTCATATCAGTAATCAAATTGTATCATGAAATATAGATTTTTTCTAAAAGTAATCATGACAATCCATAACATTAAAGCAAATGGTTTTCCCATCAAAACATTGATGGTAAGAACTGTAAATTCAAAGCTGGGTTTGCACAGCCAAAAAAATAGTCATGAAAGTAAACAGACAACCTACAGAATGGGAGAAAATTTTTGCATCCTATGCATCCGATAAGGACCTGATAACTAGAATATACTTTAGAACTCACGAAAATCAGGAAGAAAATTCAAATAACCCCATTAAAAAGTGGCAAAGGACTTGAACAGAAATTTTCTAAAGAAGACAGAAGAATGGCCAACAAACATATGAAAAAATGCTCAACATCTCTAATCATCAGGGAAATGCAAATCAAAACCACAATGAGATATCACTTAACCCAGTGAGAATGGCCTTATCAAAAATCTCCAAACAATAAATGCTGGCATGGTTGCGGAGAGAGAGGAACACTCCTACACTGCTGGTGGGACTGCAAACTAGTTCAGCCTCTGTGGAAAGCAATATGGAGATATCTTAAAGCGATATAAGTGATTCTACCATTTGATCCAGCAATCCCATTGCTGGGCATCTACCCAAAAGATCCAATGACACTCTACAAAAAAGAACACCTGCACTCGAATGTTTATAGCAGCACAATTCATAATTGCAAGGCTGTAGAAACAGCCCAAGTGTCCATCAATCCAAGAATGGATTAATAAAATGTGGTATATGTATTGCCATGGAGTACTATTCAGCTCTAAGAACACAATGGTGACATAGCACATCTTATATTTTCCTGGTTAGAGCTGGAACCCATACTATTAAATGAAGTTTCCCAAGAATGGAAAAACAAGCACCACATATATCACCAGCAAATTGGTATTAACTGAACAGCACCTAGGAGTTCACATAGGTACTACAGTAATAGGGTATTGGCAGGTGGAGGGGGAGGGGGCGGTGTATATACATACATAATGAGTGAGATGTGCACCATCTGGGGATGGTCATGATGGAGACTCAGACTTGTGGGGGGAGGGGGGGAAATGGGCATTTATTGAAACCTTAAAATCTGTACCCCCATAATATGCCAAAAAAAAAAAAGCTGGGTTTGGCCAGATGTCACTCAGTTTGTGTAATCATAATGAGAGTTTTAACATTTTTTACTTTCATACGGTTTTAGATAAATGAAATAAACACACAGATCAATCAGCTGATTGAAAAGAAAATGATGAGAAACGAGCCAATTGAAAGCAAACTCTCACTATATAGGCAACAGGTAAGAACATTCTTTTGGCCCACACATTTAGATCTGTTAGCTCATTGGTGAACCACCAATGTGTTATCTATAGTCTTAAAGTAAGAAGAAAGTACAGAGTAAATGCTCTGTCATTGTTAAGATTATAACAGAGAATTAGTGGTAAAGCCACAAAAGGCACATGTTCAAGTTTGAAATGCAATATACCTGATGGTGCTTAGTTTCCTTAACATAGTCAACTTATGATAGAGCTTTTTGTGTTTATCAGTGTGGAATTTTATTTATTTTAATTTATTTTTTTTGAGACATCTCACTCTGTTGCCCGGACTAGAGTGCCATGGTGTCAGTCTAGCTCACAGCAACCTCAAACTCCTGGGCTCAAGCGATCCTTCTGTCTCAGCCTCCCAAGTAGCTGGGACTAGAGGCATGTGCCACATGCCGGCTAATTTTTCTGTATATTTTTAGTTGGCCAATTAATTTCTTTCTATTTTTATTAGAAACGGTGCCTCACTCTTGCTCAGGCTGGTCTTGAACTCCTGACCTTGAGTGATCCTCCCGCCTCGGCCTCCCATAGTGCTAGGATTACAGTGGAATTTTATTTTTAAGTGAAAGCTTACCATCGGTGGTATAAATAAAAATGCTTATAATCTTTAGAGTTAAAAATAATATGCTTTGCCGGGTGCGGTGACTCACGCCTGTAATCGTAGTACTCTGGGAGGCCGAGGCAGGCGGATTGCTCAAGGTCAGGAGTTCGAAACCAGCCTGAGCAAGAACGAGATCCATCTCTACTATAAATAGAAAGAAATTAATTGGCTAGCTAAAAATATATATATATATTAAAAAAATTAGCCAGGCATGGTGGCACATGCCTATAGTCCCAGCTACTCAGGAGGCTGAGACAGGAGGATCGCTTGAGCCCAGGAGTTTGAGGTTGCTGTGAGCTAGGCTGATGCCATGGCACTCACTCTAGCCTGGGCAACAGAGTGAGACTCTGTCTCAAAAAAAAAAAAAAAGACCAGCCTGAGCAAGAGCAAGACCCCATCTCTACTATAAATCGAAAGAAATTAGCCAAACAACTAAAAATAGAAAAATTTTAAGACATTATTTTTTCAGATATTCTGTCTGCCTTTCTTTTTTCCTTCTGGAATTTCCACAATGCATATGCTGGTTGGCTGATGGTATACCACATGTCCTTTCTTCTCTGTTCACTTTTTATATACATATGTACATATATATATATGTGTGTGTGTGTGTGTGTATGTATATTTAGAGATGGAATCTTGTTCTGTCACCCAGGCTGGAGTGCAGTGATGTAATCATAGCTCACTGCAGCCTCGAACTCTTGGGCTCAAGGGATCCTTGCGCCTCAACCTCTCAAGTAGCCAGAACTATAGGTGTGAGCCATTGTGCCCAGGTAATTTTTTTCATTTTATTAGGGACAAGGTTTCACTATGTTGCCCAGACTGGCCTTGAACTCCTGGCTTTGTGGAATCTTTCTGCCTCAGCGTCTGCAGTCACAGGGATTATAGGCACGAGCCACAGTGCCCAGCCCTTCAGTATTTTTTTTTCTGTTCCTCAGACTCAATAATTTCCCTTTTCCTATCTTCAAGTTCACTGATTCTTCTGCCTATTCAAATCTGCCTTTGAATCCATCTTGTGAATTTTTATTTCACTATTATACTTTTTAGCTCCGTAATTTCTTTTTGTTTTCTTTTTAGGTTTTCTCTATTAGTATTTTCATTTTGTTCATACATTGTTTTCTTAAATTCTTTCACATCTTCCTTTAGTTGTTTGACCATCTTTAAGGCAGTTGTTTTAAAGTCTTTGTCTAGTAGATCTGCCATCAGATCTTTTTCAAGAACAGTTTCTGTTGATTTATTTTTTCCTTTGACTGTGCTATATTTTCCTGTTTATTTGTGTGCTTTGTGACTTTTTGTTGTTGTTATAGACATTTGAATCTAATAATATGGTAACTCTGGAAATCAGATTCTTTCTCTTTCCTGGAGCTGGGTATTTTTTATTTTTGTTTTTGTTTTTTGATTATTATAGACTGTGCCAAGGATCAACCTGAAGTGTACACTTAAAGCCATTTCAGGTCCTTTCTGAACCTGCACCTTTCCCTACACGTGTAGATACTTTCTAATTTTCCCCATAAATGCAGTTGTTTTTTCTTTTTTTTGAGACAGAGTCTCACTTTGTTGCTCAGGCTAGAGTACACTGGCATCAGCCTAGCTCACAGCAACCTCGAACTCCTGGACTGAGGCAATCCTCCTGTCTCAGCCTCCCAAGTAGCTGGGACTACAGGTATGCGCCACCATGCCCGGCTAATTTTTTCTGTATGTTTTTAGTTGTCTAGCTAATTTTTTTCTATTTTTTTAGTAGAGACAGGGTCTCTCTCTCTTGCTCAGGCTGGTCTCGAACTCCTGAGCTCAAGCAATCTGTCTGCCTTGGCCTCCCAGAGTGGTAGAATTACAGGCATAAGCCACCACATGCAGTGTTTTTTAATGTCTTGATCTTTAATGTCTAACTTCTGAAAAGGGAAATTGAGAAAAATGAAGAGAAGAAAGAAACAACACTGGATCTTTAAATCCCCTGGAAGTCACTTCCAGGAGATGCAGCAACAATGGCCTTCCCTCTTTGTGCCTCTGTGATCAGAAGCAGCAATCCTGACAGATTCCCAGTATTTGAAGGACGAGGTCCTTTCTGCCTACTTTTGTTCTAAAAACCCATGTGCAAGCTGTTGCAGGAACACATGCATGGGTTTGGGATGCAGGATGGATACTTGTTATTGTGCTAAGGGCTGAAATTGATTGAAATTTACCTCCCTTTACTGTCTAAGCCTTCCACTGGAAGTTGCAAGCATTCAGTAGACTCCAGAATTCCAAAATAGTTACATCACAGATTCTGCCAAGTATAATTGTTAATTATGTGGAGACACAATTCCTGGTACTTCTTACTCCACCATCTTCCTAGAATGTCATCTTCTTATAAATTTAGGAACTCTTCATGTAAAATTTATGCTTACATATTTTGCTTTCTATTTTGCTTTTATGAGAGCCTTTTCTTTCTTTATGTCTTCTGACTTATTTTATTTATGAAAGCTATTAATTTGTTTTCTATAGTTTTTCCATTGATACTGTTGGGTTTTTTAGGTACATGACTATATAACATGAAAATTCCAATTTTCCCTTTCAAATTCTTATGCTTCTAATTGCTCTCATATGTCTAATGATACTAGCTAATACCATCAATATAATATTAAATTGTAGTGGCCATAGTGGGCATTTTTATTATGTTCCTGACTTTAGTGAGAAATACCGTCATGTTTCTCTATTAAATAAGATCCTAGTTTTGGGCTGAGGTTTATATTTATTTATTTTTATCATGTTACTTATTTTATGATTGAAGTATACCATTAAGTCCTGTATAATTCTGGTTCTCTATTTTTCCTTCTTCATTTTTTAAGCTGGAGCTATAGAGTGAAACATTTCTTTATCATCACTTATCTTTTCATTTTTTTAAACAGGAAGGACAATAGAATTTTTTTAAGGGTTTGCAGTAGATATTCCTCCTCTCCTATCAAATTTGTTTGAAGAAAAAATAATGCTTTTTGAGACAGAGTCTCACTCTGTTGCCTAGACTAGAGTGCAGTGGCATCATCATAGCTCACTGCAACCTCCAACTCCTGGGTTCAAGCCGATTCTCCTGCCTCAGCCTTCCCAGTAGCTGGGACTACAGGCATACACAACAGTGCCCAGCTAATTTGTGTATTTTTTGTAGAGACTTGGTCTTGCTATGTTGCTCAGGCTGGTCTCAAACTCCTGAGCTCAAGCAACACTCCCACCTCGGTCTCCTGAAGTGCTAAGATTACAGGCATGAGCCACTCCACCCAACCTGAAAAAAATATTTATAGCATTTTGCTTAGGAAAGCAGTTTGGCTGATGTTTTTCTTAAACCAGTGCAGCCATAGTTCATTAAAAGAAATCTCCCAAGAGTTGCGAGTTCTAATATAAAATGCTGTATTCATGGCTAAGAACCATGTGAACTGTGTAAACATTTGTGTGATTCTGGTGATTCAGATGTTTGATTTGAACTTGCATTTTATTTATTAGAGTGCCACAAATATAATAGATGTAATAACATTTCACTTTAGAAATATATATATTGGATTCAGTAAGACGACCTATGTTGTTGTTTTGACAATAGAGCAGTCTTGGAACTATTTTTTTCCCCTCATCTTTAGTCTCTTTACAATTGGTTGTCATCCGAGGTGTTGCAGGAGCCGAGAGCTCTTAGAACAGTACTTTGAGCTAGCATAGGGGTAAGAGGAGCAAGAGGGAGGCTGGTGGTGATCAGGTTCCCTTCTTTTAGCTTTGGAAACTCCCAGATTCTGGCTGCTCCTCCGAAGTTGCACTCAAAATGGTCCAACGTTTGACATATCGCCATAGGCTTTTCTACAATACAGCCTCTAACAAAACTAGGCAGTCCCGACACCCTGGTAATAGAATTGTTTACCTTTATACCAAGAAGGTTGGGAAAGCACCAAAATCTGCATGTGGTGTGTGCCCAGGTAGACTTCAAGGGGTTCGTGCTATGAGACCTAAAGTAATTATGAGGTTGTCTAAAACAAAAAAACGTGTCAGCAGGGCCTATGGTGGTTCCATGTGTGCTAAATGTGTTCGTGACAGGATCAAGTATGCTTTCCTTATTGAGGAACAGAAAATCGTTGTGAAGGTGTTGAAGGCACAAGCACAAAGCCAGAAAGCTAAATAAGAAAATGAACCTTGGCTGGGCGTGGTGGCTCACGCCTATAATCCTAGCACTTTGGGAGGCCGAGACGGGCGGATTGCTCAAGGTCAGGAGTTCGAAACCAGCCTGAGCAAGAGCGAGACCCCGTCTCAAAAATAGAAAGAAATTAATTGGCCAACTAAAAATATATATACAAAAAATTAGCCGGGCATGGTGGCACATGCCTGTAGTCCCAGCTACTCGGGAGGCTAAGGCAGAAGGATTGCTGAGCCCAGGAGATTGAGGTTGCTGTGAGCTAGGTTGACGCCACGGCACTCACTTTAGCCTGGGCAACAAAGTGAGACTCTGTCTCAAAAAATAACAAACAAAAAAAAACAAAAAAAAAAGAAAAGAAAATGAACCTTTTTTGAGGAATAAAAATTAAAAGGCTAAAAAAAAAAAAAAAAGCAGTCTTATTTTTTTCCAATGAAAGGAAACTCACCATGCAAAAAAACAATAGACTTAGTGTTAGCTTCTATTTACTTACTTAGAATGTATTTTCATTAGTATTTGAGTGTTACTTAAGAAGACTTTAATATTTTCATTATTAGCACATTTTTGTTTTTCTGCTTATATGTTCTACATTTTCAGGGCTTTTGTCTTCCAAAATGTTTTTAGGTGAATATTTAATATATATTGTATGCTCATATTAAATACATAATTGGTGATGGTGGGCAGTAGGAATTGGTTAGGAGAAGCCAAGCTGATATTGAAAATTTAACTCAGTAAAATCTATATTATAGATAACTTCACAAGATAATAGAAAGTTGATTGTGTGCCTTATTTTACATTCATATTTAATGCTCATTTAGGCATCAATCATTTCTCGTAAAAAAGAAGCAAAAGCTGAGGAACTTCAGGAGGCCAAAGAGAAGTTAACCAGCCTAGAGAGAGAAGTGTCATTAAAGACAAATCAGACCCGTGAATTTGGTGGTACTGAAGTTTTGAAGGGAGATGAGGTAAGTTGAGGTATCTCATAGGACAAGTGTGTGAGTGTTGTTTTTGTTTGAAACCATTAATGTGTTTGACTTGCTTAGTTTGAATAATGGGAAGTTAATCTTATTTTTAAAAACTTATTTATATAGATTTGTAAATATATATAAAACTGAAAAGAAAGATCTTTTGCAATTATACTGAGATATTTTTAATATAAAATGGCAGATATCTTAGTGATTTTTATGAGATGTTATATTCTAAATTTTCACTATTTAATTAAGTGAATTTATATTGGATTTATTTATTATGAGTATTAAATTATAAAAATGAAACAGGCTGGGTGCAGTGGCTCACGCCAGTTAATCCTAGCACTTTGGGAGGTCGAGTGGGGAGAATCACTTGAGGTCAGGAATTTGAGACCAGCCTAAGTAAGCGCAAGACCCTATCTCGACTAATAATTGAAAAATTAGCTGGATGCAGTGGTGCACACCTGTGTTCCAGCCACTCGGGAGGCTGAGGCAGGAAGCTTGCTTGAGCCCAGGAGTTTGAGGTTGCAGTGAGCTATGATGACGCCACTGCACTCTAGTCCAGGCAACAGAGCAAGACTCTGTCTCAGGAAAAAAAAGGAAAGAAACAAGAAATAAAATTAGTAGGAACTAACAGATAATACAAAGATTTATATTTGTTGATAAATCTATTTCCATAGAGAACTAAGAAAATACCATCATGAAGTTACTTTGTCAGTAGTATATATTTGGCCAGTGGGTCTGACATGATTAAAATGACCTTATCATAAATGCTTACAAGTTAAAAGAATACAATTATGTTTTGCATTGTTACATACTTTAAATTTTGAACAATGCTTTAATGGCTTTTGTATCATTTATCCTGCTTTCAGACTCATAAGATTAATAAAACAAATAATGTTGTTTATAGATAGCTAAACTCAAGTACCAGAAATATAATTCCCCATCTTTTTTTCATAGAATTAGCTCAACAGAGAGTGAATGAATGAAGAAAAATTTCTTGTTTTAGCTCAGTGCTTTTTTAGCAAATCAAGTGATAGGTCATATTTTCGTTCCTAAACATTGCCTGTAATTTACCAATTCGTACAGGTTTTTAAAATTTTATGTTAACTGCTAGACCTCAGCAAAAGCTATTCTGAAGAGCTGTTCTTGTCCAATCCTCATTTTTGGCTTTGAAAGGTTATTGAATCCCTACTGTTACAAATTGGCAGTGAACCTTCACTGAGCCAAATACAAATGAATTATTACCTCAGTACCACTTTTCTCCATGGTGCTTCGGATTGTAGCCTCCCAATGTGCCTTTTAGCTTGTTGGAGAAGTAGTAGATATTAGGAAGTCAGCACTTGATTGAAAAATTCCTTTGGCTTTCAACAATCACTTCCAGATTGCTTTAAGACATGAGTGTGTTTTAAATTAAACTTGGAAGTCAACAGTGTGTGCTTTGTGACATGCATGCTATCCAGGGGGAAAAAGATTAATTATATAGCAATTTTGCTTTATCAGAGACCATGCTTAAGCCAAAAAAAAAAAAAAAAAAAAAATCTAAAGACATGGACATAAGCCAAAAAAAAAAAAAAAAAAGAGACCATACTATCTCCTAGTATTTTTATCTTTTCTTAAGAAAACACTGCCTAATTGTCAGGAAATACTCATTGTTAGGCCACATTTGGCATGAATAGGCTTATTAAGTCAGTATTAGATGTTCCCTCTATGCATATGTGAGGGAAAAGAACCTAGTGAGAAATCATGGTGAATAGGGGAAGTATCCAATGACAGAACAAAGCATACTTTTTTTTTTAAGGGGAAAAAGATAACTTTGGAAATGATAAGATCAACTTGATTTTTGAACAATGTCTGGTTGGCAGCTAGAACAAATCATTTGGTAAATTATTTGGCAGTTTCCTAGAAGAACAGAAGGTATTGGGGAACATTAAGCATAATTTTATAAAGAACAAATCTTGGTGGACCAATTTAATTTTTTATTTGATAAAGTGATCAGCCATATGGACAAAAGGGAGTAAGTTTGTTATATTTAAAATTACATAATATCGCTGGACTTCACTGGGGTTTCTGATTCGGTATCACATGGTAAACACCAGAAAATCATGTCCTTTGCTCCCCATGTGTTAGCACAGTTGATGGGAAGGTATTGAGAGGTAATGGCATGGTGTTTGGAAAGAATACTACTCCAGGAATCGCATGTAGAATGAAGAAAGGGGGATAACATTTTTTGAGCAATTTTTATGCAAAGTTCTGTACCAGATGCTTTACAAATATACTTATTTACTTTTTGCAAGAGGTATTATTATCATTTCCATTTTACAATTGAGTGACACTCAGGGAGATTATAGATTCACCCAGCTAATAAGTGGCCAGGTGGGTATCCAGGACCTCTCCAAGGTCTATTGGCCTTGAACAAATTCTTAACCTTTCTGAGGTTTGTCTGGGGTGGATTGCTCTTCATTGTCTCTAGGAAAAACACATGAAATAATGGATGTAAAAGCTTCTGAGAAACTCAAAGGCTCAGTGAACATATAACATCTGGCATATAAAGTAGCCATTCCTATGAGTGGTATGTCACTTTGTGTGTAAGAGGCAGTATGGTGGGGTAGTTGAGAGTGTAGGCTTTAGAACCTGGTCGTTTGAGTGCAGATCCTGATGTTGCCATTTATTAGCTTGGTGGCATTGGCAAGTTCCTTAACCTCTTTGTACTAAGTTGTAAAATGTGAATGTTACTAGTTATTTACTACCTAGAATTATTTTGAGGATTAATTGAGTTAGTACCTGTAATTTGCTTAGAATAGCACTAGGCACATAGTAAGTGCTCAGTGTATTAGTTCTTTTATTTTTATTTATTTTTTTATTTTTATTTTTTTGAGACAGAGTCTCACTCTGTTGCCCAGGCTAGAGTGCTGTGGTGTCAGCCTAGCTCACAGCAACCTCAAACTCCTGGGCTCAAGTGATCCTTCTGCCTCAGCCTCCCAAGTAGCTGGGACTACAGGCATGCACCACCATGCCTGGCTAATTTTTTCTATGTATTTTAGTTGGCCAATTAATTTCTTTCTATTTTTAGTAGAGAGTGGGTCTCACTCTTGCTCAGGCTCGTTTTGAACTCCTGACCTTGAGCGATCCACCTGCCTCGGCCTTCCAGAGTGCTAGGATTACAGGCATGGGCCACCGAGCCTGGCCCTAGTTCTTAATATTTATATATTTTTGTCATTCAGTTGAATGAAGAGTTTGAGAATTGAAACCAGCATCTCCAAGACTGGGAGCAATTTAGTAAAAATAAATATAAAATCATTTCTGCTCAGGATAAATAATTTATACAGATTTATGATGGAATAAGATAGTATTAATGAGAGTTATTTTAGCTGTCATTCACTGAGCAGTTACTACATGCTCAATCTGAGCACTTTAAAAATATATGCTTGGTGATAGTTGTACAATAATGTGAATGTACTTTATGCCACAGAAGTATATACTTAAAAATGGTTAATATGGTAAATTTTATATTGTTATCACACAGTCGATCCTAATTCATCCTCTCAGAAAGCCTATGAGGTAAATATTATCTTCATTTTGTAACTAAGGAAACAAGAAATTTAAGTAACTTACCCAAAGTCACACAGTATGTTGCAGAGCAAGAATTTGAACCAAAATATGAATACTTCTATAGCTGTGGTCCTAAGAGAAAACTGTGTTACTCTGACAACTCCAAGGTGCTATTGGAATGGATAAATTTTAGTATTCATATTTGACTCTAAATAGGACTACACTATGAGCAGTCATTAATTAGAAATGTGAGTTTGCTAGAAACTGTATGATAGCCATTTCTTTGGATGTAAAACTTCATTCTATATGTAGTTGTTTGCTCAGTATTTTCTTGGAAAAATTTGGGAACATGACTGTGTTGTTGATGAGGATAAATGTAACAAGTTCTAGATATATATATTGATTTATATTCCGTTGTCATTTTCTTTTTAGAGGTCTTGTTAGCATTTTTTAAAGTTTGATAATGAAATATGTATTTGGATGCTTCCTGTTGCCAGTAACATTATTTTAGATGTTTTATTTTGTCTAAGAATTTTATGTCTTCTGATTGCAGATAACAGGTGCTCTAGGCATTTATTCTTTGTTAGGCTTTTTAAATTAGTATTTCCTTGATTTTCCTTATTAGTAAAAGACGAAGTATCTAAAAATGCTTATTTCCCCCTCATTATATTTTGGTTATAATTTCAACATTTTATTAACAGGAATAATCCAGGCATGTGTTTATCTGTTATCCTGCAAAAGTACTGACATAGGTACGAATTTCTTGAACAGTGGAAATTATCTTCTCAGTGATAGAGATACATTTTCTTGCCAATTTAGTCTATCTTGATTTCTTTCTTTTCATACCAGTATTTGGTAAGTGATAGAAAGGCTGAGTTTAGAGACTACACCTTGTTAACATAACTAAAAGTTGATAATAATGAATATCTAACTGTTTTTTATATCTTGAAAGTTATTATATTAGATTTTAAGTATATCCTAATTAAGTATAAAGCTGGTTGAGTCGACAGTCTCAAAAAACTTTGATTGATGTCATCTCTGGGAGGAAATATGCACAAAAAAGTATCATGGAGCTTTGCCCTTGATCCTGGCTTATTTATTATTCTTATCAATAATTAAGATTAATAATAATGAAAGTTTATTATGCAATTATAGTGTGCCAGACACCCTACTAGGCTTCTTATATACATTATCTCATTTATTTTATTATACTCATAAATACAATGTACTCATAAGTTTTTATAAATTAAGGAACTGAGGCACATAAAAGGTTTAACCTGAGTTACCTGAGATCACATTGCTTGTATGTAGTAGTACCAGGATTTAATTGAGGCAGTCGGGCTCTAGAAACCTCAATAATTTGCCCTTGACAGAAAACTAGAAAAACTAGTCAGCCTGAAACAGATGATAGAATTACAATTCAAAATCATCTTGTAGGCAGGAGC